ACTGCTGTCCTGCCTTCTGGGGAGAAAGCAGGCATATTTAAAGGAAAATCTTGGGGCTGGGGTTAAGAGGAACAAACAAAAACAACAAGAATGCCTGCCCACATTAATCAGTAACAAAGAATGTAAGTTTTAGTTCCCAGCAACGGAGGGAGAAGACAGGAAAAACAGTTTCACTTAGAAATCATGCATCAGGGACTTCTCTGGTGGTGCAGTGGCTGGGAATCTGCCTGCCAATGCAGGGGACACAGGCTCAAGCCCGGGTCCGGGAGGATCCCACATGCCACAGAGCAACTAGGCCCATGCGCCACAACTACTGAGCCTGTGCTCTAGAGCCTACGAGCCACAACTATTGAGGCTGTGTGCCACAACTACTGAAGCCCGCACGCCTAGAGCCCCTGCTTGTCGCAACTAGAGAAAGCCTGCGTGCAGCAACAAAGACCTAATGCAACCAAAAATAAAATAAAAAGAAATTTAAAAAAAAATGAAATTATGCATCCAACAGTTTTAGCCTTGTGGCCCTGTCAGTTATAACCTTCCATATCTACGGGAGTGAGGGCAACGAAGTCATCTGGCTACTTCCTGCTGAACTGGGGCAATGTTAAAATTGAGGAGGATTAGAAGAGAGAAGGTTCTGGGCTTTCACTTTAAAGAATTCTCTTGTCCCAAAAGATGCTCTAGAATCCTGCAAGATATGCAGAGAGGCTTTTTCTTTTTTTCTTTCTGGCTTGACATCACCTCTTCTTGTAATAGCACCTAGAGGCCCTAAGGTTGCAGTTGGCAATCAGGTTCTCAGTAGTACAGAAATGTGTCTGAAACCACATTCAGAATGGCCATCCAGCTCTACTTTGGACACCTGAACCAGTTACTCTACTTTGATTTTTAAATGTATTCTTTTTCTTACTGGTTAAAGCAGATGTACAATGCATATCTCTGACAGGTCACAAACAGGCTGTTCTAGTCTAAGTTAAATCATGTAAAAGCCAGAATAACTTCGCCATACCTCAATATGTGAACATTTATTCTATAATTTCCCCTTTTTGTTTGCAAATCTTTCGATAGAAAGCACTGATGATCAAAATATTTGTCACTTGATGCCAGGGTGGTTGCTGCCAGCCCTAGGTCCACCATGCCCCTCAGTGCTAGGCATACTCTTTGTGTGTGTGTGTGTGTGTGTGTGTGTGTGTGTATGCCTAATTATCCACATTGGAGGAAAACTAATCAAACATAGTGAACAAGCTCAGATGTATGCTAACGAAGAAACATTTTATAGGCTCGACACTTTATCAGTTATACCAAATTGTCATTCGAACATTGTATATGTGCTTTTAGCAGTATACTCAAAGCAAGCAGTGACACGTCATGAATAGTTATACTCTTGACGATAACTTCACTAAAGAATTTTCTTTCCATCCTGAACATTGGAGTTAAAAGTATGGTTAGAAGTAAAACAGTAACTTTGCATTTTGATAGGAAGACAAACATTTGGTAAACAGTTCAATTAAATTAGTTGGATGGGGACTTCCATGGTGGTCCAGTGGTTAAGAATCTGCCTTCCAATGCAGGGGATGAGGGTTCGATCCCTGGTCGGGGAACTAATATCCCACCTGCTGTGGGGCAACTAAGCCCACACGCTGCAACTACTGAACCCGCGTGCCACTAGAGAGAACCTGCACGCCACAACCCTAGAGAAGCCCGCGTGCTGCAACGAAGAGCCCACGCACCACAACAAAAAATCCCGCATGCCACACTAAGACCCAAAGCAGCCAAAAATAAATAAATAAACAAATATTTTTAAAATAATAATAAATAAATTAGTTGGATGGTTCTTACAGGCCTGGTCCAGATTTTTGGGTCAGCTGCCTACCACTACTGTTATCTTCTTCTCATCCTGGTATGGGTGTCATTTGTGGTCAGCAGTCTTTTCTATAGACAGTCCAATGCAGAGGCCCTTCTTAAGTGGAAAACATGAAGAGTCAATTTCCTTCAGGGACTTCCCTGGTGGTCCAGTGGCTAAGACTCCATGCTACCAATGCAGGGGGAATTAGATTCCACATGCTAATTCAGGGAATTAGATTCCACATGCTGCAACTAAGAGTTCACGTGCCACAACTAAAGATCCTGCATGCTGCAACTAAAAGATCCCACATGCCACAACTAAAGATTCCGCAAGCCGCAACTAAAAGATCCCACGTCGCAATTAAAGATCCCACATGCCGCAACTAAAAGATCCCACATGCCGCCACTAAAGATCCTGCATGCTGCAACAAAGATCCCACATGCCACAACCAAGACCCAGTGCAGCCAAATAAATAAATAAAAGAGTCAATTTCTTTCAATTTTGCTGCACATACGCTAGTTAAAGAGTACCTGATAAGGGTCCTTTTGTCTAATTTGGAGACAGTCCTTTAAATGATGTCTTTTCCAGGTGCATAATCTCCTAGTTGCAAGTCACAGGGCATCTGATCTTCATCCAAAGACAGATTACTGTAACTTGCTTTAGAAACAAGCTTAGAATATTATTTTAATAATTCAATTAAACTTTACAATAATGTAACATAGTAACAAGGATCCATCTTGGACGTAGAGAATAAATACAAAACCTCAGTAAATACAAAACTTCAATATCCAAAGGTATATTACTGAAACATAATTTTTCTCTCTAACTTATCCTCATTTCTACTAAATCTAGCCAAATTAACATATTACTGACCAGGGGATTTTTGCTGAAACTAACGCCCATGCCTGGCAATTTGTTACATAAGTGAATATTCAAACACCCGCGTCTGAGTAAATATCAGCAACTTTTTTTGCACTTAATGTATTTATTTGAAACTTTGTATACGTCTTACTAAAGCATTCTAATATTTCGTTAGAGTGTGATAGGCAGTATAGCAGGCACCTCTCTGCAAGGGAACAGAACATCTATTACAAATATACCGTGTTTCATTGCGCTTTCCCCTGGAAGAGCAGACTCTACAATTCCCAGCAGCATTTTTTTTTAGTCCTGTGGGTATTATTTCCTCTAGAATATGTTCTTTTATTTCACCTGATAGTCGACAAGGTGGATCTGTGTGGGGGGCTTGAAGGACCAGGTGTAGGACTACCACTACATTCACCAGAATGGTCAGTTACCCATTCTCTAACTACTGCTAACAAAAACTGCTTGTAAGTCATTTTACTCTGTGCAATAAAGCTACAATAAATTTTAAATGCATTGAATAAACCGCAATTACTCAAATAGAAACCCACTTTCTTAAACCATTTTCGAGTTTTCCAGAGGATACTGAAGTTTGCCAGATAGTGATTAGATCAATCAACTTTCATATATTTATTATACTCTTATATACAAGTGGGCTTAGTTATCTGATGGCCAGTCCTCCTGCATTCCTTTCCTGTAGATGCTATGGAGGTGTCTTGAATAGTTGTCACCATGAGGACTAGCCTCTTGTCTTTCCATATAAGAAGAATCACTTTCCCTTCCGTAAGAATGTCATTTCTCCCCGCTGTAGATTTTTAGATTTCTCCTTTAATTGGTTTAGTAGACCACGATTCTCTCTTATTTCAGATGTGAGCACACTGTTGTAATAACTGTCTTGGTAAATATGGTGCCATGAACCAAGATAAGGTTGTAGGACCAACAATATTGTTTCTTGCAGTTTCTTTCCTTCACCCACGTAAATCTCCAGGCTGCATGTATATCCAATTTCACTTTCACTAACCATCCTAACCAAAATTCTGTATTTTGTAAGTTTTCCAGGATTACAGGTTTTGAATCTGAGTTGTCCTCTCCACCTTATCATTGCCTCATCAAGTGATAGCTCTTGTTTGGGCACATAGAACAACTGAAATTTTGGCAGAAAATAATCCAAAAGAGGTTTAACTTTGAAATTCTGTCTGCAGGAAGTGGAGTTTCTGAGTTATCGTTAAAGTGAAGAAATGTCATTATTTGTTCAAACCTTCTTCTCGTCATAATCTTTGGAAAGATAGGTGTTTCAAGTAAGAGATCAGTCGACCAATGTTCTTCCCAGTGTGACTGACTTTCTTTCTTTTTTTTTTCAGAATTAAATTTTATTTCACTTTGATAGAAACCGTGAAAAAGATTTACATTTTCCCACGTTACAGCACAACATGTCAATGGAATATTTCTTGTCATAAATTAGATCTTGCTGATTTGTGTAAGTGAAACAACAGTTTATATTCTTCAAAATAAAAGCAAAATGACTTAGTAAATGATTGTTTAAAACTGTAAATCCAGGGCTTCCCTGGTGGCACAGTGGTTGAGAGTCCGCCTGCTGATGCAGGGGACACGGGTTCTTGCCCCGGTCCAGGAGGATCCCACATGCCGCAGAGCGGCTGGGCCCGTGAGCCTTGGCCGCTGAGCCTGCGCATCCGGAGCCTGTGCTCCGCAACGGGAGAGGCCACAACAGTGAGAGGCCCGCGTACCGCAAAAACAAACAAAAAAGAACACTGTAAATTCAGACATAAACATATGGCTTCATTATTAACATCCTATACCGTCCATACGAAATCATTTCCATCATCAAGTAGTACCCATTTATAAAGATGCATTCCTAACGGTGTTCTAGTCAGTTGGAATACGGCAGAAAAATTAACAGTTCAGAAATAGCAAGTGTACATTTTTGCTACATATTAAACTGGGTGGTAACTACACCATATGTATTGAGTTCTGACTAACTTTTATTACCCATAAACTTGCTTTCAAATAATGTTAACCAATAATCTGAAAAATCTATTTAAAATCAAATAATTGCTACTTTTATGTTTGCACAGAAACTCTGACTATAGTGAAAATTTCAAATAAGTCCATTGGCAGAAAAAAGTAAAGGAAATTTTTTGAATGGACTGTTCATTTCCTACAGCAGTCGGTTTCAAACATATGTGCAAAATAAGTAAACTAAAACTATGCTACGAGGAGAATCATCTTAGAGCAAATCATCTTAGAAATTACAATTTGTAAGATCAGTAAATATTTCAGAACATACTAGAATATGACTTAATTATTCTTTCAGTTAATTACAGAAAAATACAACCACAGAATTATTCTCGTTACCTGGACGGAAGATTCAAGTAACTCTGCCGGCCTAAACGGCAGACAAAGGTCCAGTTTAAGAAGTAGTGTAGAAACTTTGAAGGGATGTCTGGTTTCTTTTTACAAGTATAAGTACGTTTTCAATGCCGTCATGTCTGTGATTCAGAATGTCAAATTACAGCATGTATTGACAGCAGATGTCTATGGCAAGTAGGCAATATTTGGTCCATTATGAAGGATAAAAAAGAAGAAAGAACACATTTCTTTTCTAGAGAGGAAAAAAGAATATTAAATAGAAATTATATTCAGGAAAGAAAAACGTGGTCCCCAAAATAAAAGGGCCATTAATTGAAGACAGCAATATTACTCTTTATTGACACTTAGAAGCATTATCCCTATTAGGAATAATGTAATAACACCTTATTCTTATTATGTATTATAATCATTAAGTACGTATGAACACATATATAAAAATATACGGACTTCCCTGGTGGCGCAGTGGTTAAGAATCTGCCTGCCAATGCAGGGGACACGGGTTCAAGCCCTGGTCCGGGAAGATCCCACATGCCATGGAGCAACTAAGCCCGTGCACCACAACTACTAAGCCTGCATTCTAGAGCCCGCGAGTCACAACTACTGAGCCCTCACATCACAGCTACTGAAATTCACACACCTAGAGCCCAAGCTCCACAACAAGAGAAGCCACCTCAACGAGAAGCCCGCGCGCCACAACAAAGAGTAGCCCCCGCTCACCGCAACTAGAGAAAGCCCGCGTGCAGCAACAAAGACCCAATGCAGCCAAAATTAAATAAATTAATTTAAAATATATATATACAGATACTGCATGGTGACTAAGTAATCTGGGAATAAGTCCAGAGTCTAAGTCACAGCATGCATAAACTGTTTATGTCTTAACTGCTCATTTATACCTGAACAAGTTTTCATTAAGCATACTAATAATTTTCAAGGGACATAATAAAAAATCTGGTTGCAGTATTTTATTACTTTGCTGAATTACATTTGGGAGAAAGAAGCTACCTGCTTCACCTATTTTAATACTAATATATTCTGGATCATGTTACACAAATACATACATAGAAACTTAAAAGATCATAAATTTTCCAAGAGGAGATTTTAGTCTGTGTCATTGGTGTGTATTTGCAAAACATTTTAACACTGCAAATATTAGAGGTTTCAAGACCAGACAAAGGAAAAAGTTTATACTCTACAATGATGATGCTGGTGTGTACTTCTCCACAAAGCCTCTTAGTGACATCAATCAATAGGAGTTAGGAGTTCATCAATGAACTGCTTGATATCCATCATTTCCTGTTGACATGAACTGTGTATCATGCCTCCATAGGTTTTGAGGGTTACACTGGCTGGATTTACCAATGTTTTTAGCCTTTCAAAGCAGTAAGAGAACCAAACATTAGGGGAACTAAAGGATCCAAATCTCCATGGCACTGAAGAATAGAAATGTCTCTATTCACGCCACTGATAGGACCCCGTGGAAAGGAAGCCCGCAGGGGCAGCCAGCAGCTGAGGGCGGTGACGCTGGCCAGCGTCTGCTGTGTGGTCAGTGCCGTGTACAGAGATAAAGCTCCTCCCTGAGAAAATCCTCCCAAAATAATTCTGTTAGAAGGAATGCCATTCTTCACCTCTTGCCCTATCAAAGCTTTTACACTTTCTGCTGCCTGTTTAATTCCAGTTTCATCTTCGTGTGAATCTGGTGAAAGACCAATAATGTCAAACCAAGAAGGCATGGCCACATTCATATTTAATGTCACAGGCATAAACAGCGCGTGCGGGCAGATGTATTTGATGTGGGCGCTTCTGATACCTGCCAAGTCTTCTGCCCACCCATGCCCTGTGTCTCCCAATCCATGAAGGAAAATCACCGCGGCAGTGGCCTTCCGGACAGCGGGCACAATGGCAGGCAGCGGGGCCGACACGTTATTGTGGCACATACACCAGCTCGACCGACCGCGCATCAGAAGTGGAAGGCGGAGCAGGTGCCGGGCTGCAGCCAAGGGGGTGCAAGCACCAAGTCCGGCCCGCCCACAGGGGCACCCAGTGTGACTTTCTTATTTGTGCCATCAAAATTATTAATCCAAGAAACTTCATGTTACTACTGATTACATCACTCCATTTTAAAGCCTTATCATAATTTTTATATGATTTTTCGTTCTGTTGATGATACAAGTTTGTTTGAGAAGTGATCAACTCACAAAAGTTTGTTTGAGAAGTGATCAACTCACAAGAGTCGTTACCAAAAATTAATGCTGTTATTTCACTAACACTTTGTGGGTTATTACATTCAATAGTTACACCTGACACACCTGTAAAGTCGTCTAATTTCTGCCAAATGCTGCCTTCAATCCACTCTTCTGTAGAAGCAAAGGAGCATTCTCCACCACTGTTTCATTTTCACTTTCTGTACCAGAATCAATCAGTAAGGTTTTCTTGTCTTTTTGTTGGTCTAACATTCACATCGTCTGAATCAGAACTATATTCTGAAGAACTATCACTTTCCGGGACACTAGTATATATGTCGCTCAGACAATCAGAGAAAATATCTGCATAAAACTCATCAAAAAATTCTTCTTCACCCAAAATCTTGTGATGAAAAGTTTTGAAAATTTTACAGTAATAAGCTTGCGTTTATAATATACACAAGGTTGGAACAAAAACCTAATGGAGCAAAATGTGAACGATAACAACAATCATAAGTTGTATAATGAACCCTTGATCAATTTTTTTAAATTAATTAATTAATTTATTTAATTTATTTATTTGGCTGTGTTGGGTCTTCGTTGCTGCGCACGGGCTTTCTCTAGTTGCAGCAAGTGGGAGCTACTCTTTGTTGCAGTGCACAGGCTTCTCACTGCGGTAGCTTCTCTTGTTGTGGAGCACAGGCTCTAGGCGCACGGGCTTCAGTATTTGTGGTGCGCAGGCTCAGGAGCTGTGGCACAGTGGGCTCAGTAATCGTGGCTCGCAGGCTCTAGAGCGCAGGCTCAGTAGTTGTGGCGCACAGGCTTAGTTGTTCCACAGCATGTGGGATCTTCCTGGACCAGGGCTCAAACCTGTGTCCCCTGCGTTGGCTGGCAGCTTCTTAGCCACTGCGCAACCAGGGAAGTCCCAACCCTTGATCAATTTTAAGCTTTAACAACTTCACACAGTGATGTTAACTGTATCACTCCCTAAAAACATATTGGTAAGTCTCCGGTCAATAACGTTCGGATAACAAAAGATGTATTGGGCTTCCCTGGTGGCGCAGTGGTTGAGAGTCCACCTGCCGATGCAGGGGACACGGGTTCATGCCCTGGTCCAGGAAGGTCCCACATGCCGCGGAGCAGCTGGGTCCATGAGCCATGGCTGCTGAGCCTGCGCGTCCAGAGCCTGTGCTCCATAACGGGAGAGGCCACAACAGTGAGAGGCCCGTGTACCGCAAAAGAAAAAAAAAAAAATAAAGATGTATTAATACATCTCCAGTCAATAATGTGTTAAAGGGAATTCCCTGGTGATCCAGTGGTTAAGACTCCACGCTCCCAATGCAGGGGGCCCAGGTTCAATCCCTGGTCAGGGAACGAGATCCCACATGCTGCAACTAAGAGTCCACATGCTGCAACTAACAAGATCTCGCATGCTGCAACTAAAAGATCCCACGTGCCTCAACTAAAGATCGCACATGCATGCAGCAACGAAGATCCTGCATGCCACAACTAAGACCCAGCACAGAGCCAAATAAATAAATAGATAAATAAATAAATAAATACATTTTTAAGTATCTTATAAAAAATAATAATAATGTGTTAAGACTAATTTGTTCCAAGTAAGTCTGGTTTCCATAAACTTGGCCTGATTATTTGCATAAGTGTAATTGCTCATATAGGCTCTCTTAAACTGGCTGCACCGGAACTTTTCATTGGGAATCCCAGATCAAACTTTTAAAAGGCCCCTCAAGGCTAGCAATGCCATGCTAATCGCTTGCCTTCAGATTCTGCCTGTGATATCTATAGATTTGGGTAAATTCCTCTCTTCTCCAGGTCTCCAGAATATCTTGAGATTCCTGCACCTGACAGGAGGTGACCTTCCTCATTCATCTGACAAGACTCCTGGGAACCCAAGAGTTTCCAAGCTCTGGAGGGATCAGACAGAAAGAAAAGATAAATGCTTCAATTCTACTTACAAGGATATAATTTACCAAGTTGTTATAAATCATAATTAACTTAAGGGGAAAGGTTTCCTTACATCTGAAAAACACAGATTAAAAGCCAGTAATATTTCAGATAAAAACCAAAAAATTACAACCATATTCATCAGTTCACTCAGCCTATGTAATCCTTTTGCTAACAGTTTACGAAACCATCAGGGTTTCCATTAGAATTGTTTAATTTCTACCCAATTCAGCAGTATGATCTGAAAGTTATCAGAAAGCTGTACTTGTCAAAAAGTCCTTTCTATGATTCGTCTTAAAGATGAAGCAGGGCTTCCCTAGTGGCGCAGTGGTTGAGAGTCCGCCTGCCGATGCAGGGGACACGTGTTCGTGCCCCGGTCTGGGAAGATCCCACATGCCACGGAGTGGCTGGGCCCGTGAGCCGTGGCCACTGAGCCTGCGCATCTGGAGCCTGTGCTCCGCAACAGGAGAGGCTGCAACAGTGAGAGGCCCGAGTACCGCAAACAAGAAAAAAAAAAAAAAAAAGATGAGTCAGTTTTGCAAAGCATCACAGTGAAATAATAACTGTCTATGAATGACAAAAGACATAAAGGTGACGGTTAAAGATCTGATTACAATGCAGTTGACAAAGAAGCTTAACTGAGTGCTATGACGTACGACATTTTAAGATAATAACTAGAACTATGACTGATAACAATACCAGGATACATCCAAATTTTAGGAACTTCATCTAATTTCCAGAACATTTATTTTAATAAGATTTATCCATACAATATAACGTAAAAAGGTTTATTACCACTCACCTGACAATGTTTCCAATGTAATTTAACATACGAAATAATTCAAATTAATTTAAAATTTCTCTCTGAGATACCTCAGGGCCCACTGAAACATCCCAAAGTTAGTTAGAGGCTAAAAGAACTTCATTTAGAATTTGATCCTTGGGAAGTTTGTCAAAAATACCAAAAAGTTTTAAAACACCTGGTCAAATAGGATCATAAGTCACTATGAAACAATGCTTATTATTTTAACAAAAGTAACAATAAAAGATTTGAGTCAAATACAGAACGTTACAATAGATCACTAAAGATCACTTAAAAAGTGAAGAAACTGGGCTTCCCTGGTGGCGCAGTGGTTGAGAGTCCGCCTGCCGATGCAGGGGACACGGGTTCATGCCCTGGTCTGGGAAGATCCCACATGCCACAGAGCGGCTGGGCCCGTGAGCCATGGCCGCTGAGCCTGCGCGTCCGGAGCCTGTGCTCCGCAATGGAAGAGGCCGCAACAGTGAGAGGCCCGCATGCCGCAAAAAAAAAAAAAAAAAAAAAGTGAAGAAACTTACAGTTTGTTATCAAAAGCAGCTCAATATTCCAGGAAAAACTATTCTCTTGACAGAGAGAGAGTAAACCAAAATCCAGCCTTGTACCAGCTCACTTTTAATAACAAATTCATCTACTTAATTAAATGCAATCTAATCTTAGCCAGTTTTGAACATGCATAAAACTCTCTTCTCAAGGTTCCTTTCCCACAACCGTTCCGTCACTTCCTATATCCGTATAAGTCTGTCCTCCTCTCTTTCCCCCTCATTTAGAAATAACTAGCTTCAGGACAAAATTACTCTTTTCCCTTAACAAAAATATCTCCATTCTTCTCACCTTCGCTTACCGACAACATGTATCCTACTTTATTTACATACTGAAATGTTTCCCTTATTATTTCTAGTAGTTTTTAATTGCACATATATTACAATTTTTAACCCTTAAAATGAAAACCAAGAAGCAAGCAATTATGAACTGTCTGTCATACCAGTATTTCCTGACTGGCAAACTTAAGAACATATTCCATAACCTTTAAAAATATACATTTTTTTTCACAGCATAATTTTTCTTCGATGTGGTAAAAGATGTGTATCTAATAAACCCAAACATCTTCAGTTTTTCTCTCATAAGAAGACAAAAGTAGGCAAACTCAGACTTGTCTAGCAGTCTGTGTCCAGTGTTTTATCTTATTAAAAAATGATCTAGACCTTCAATGAATTCTCATCATTTAACTTTCTCTTTCTAGGAGCATACTAAAAATCCCCTGGTTGTGTAAAATACACCCTAGGGAACAACTACAAGATGGAATAGAGCTCTCATTTCCCATTTTCCTTTTAGACAAAGGCTTATAGCTATAAGTTGGCCATTCCGCCAGACTTCTTCCCAAGGGACTTTCAGATGGCATTAAAGGCACCTCCCATGTTTAAAAGCAGACAAATGATTAAAGAACAACAACAAAGGAACCAACCCAAAATGTATCAAAACGAAGGCCAACTAAACAAACAGGAACCTTTCAAAACTCAAATGAGAACAAAAGAGAACGACTTCGCTGGGTTCCCTGGTCCCACTCAACCATGACTTCCACACCAACGGCGCCACAAATGCCTCCTAACAGGCTGGAAGGTTCACAACCTTCCCCAAAAGTGTGAAATCAAGGGGCGGGGGCACTTCCCCAAGTGGACAAGGTGTGGCAACTCTTCCTCAAAGAAGGTTCAAGCTACAGGAGACCACGTCCTTTTCAAGGAGAGAGACAGGAGTAAGATGGGGCTCCAGCCGCTGGGACCACCCCTCACTCTCTCCCCAGGAGGCAGCACTCCCACAGGCAAGGGCTCCAAGCCCAACCCAGGGCACCCCTCCCTGCTCCGACAGTGTTAGGTGGGAGGTCGAGAGCAGGATGCACACCACAGGGGCACCGACGTGCCTCCTGGCTGGTTCAGCCAATTTTGTTACCAAAAATTCGGTCCTAGTCCTGATGCCAAATGAGAATAACAAGGACAAGGTTTTGAGAATAAAGGAAAGACAAATTTATTGATTGCCAGCAGATGAGAAGGGTAGCAGACTAATGTCCTGAAAACTACCATCCTGCCTTCTGGGGAGAAAGCACGTGTATTTAAAGGAAAGTCTTGGGGCTAGGGTTAAGAGGAGCAAGCAAAAACGGCAAGAAGGCCCGCCCACGTTAATCAGGAACAATGAATGCACAGTAACAAGAATGTAAGTTTTAGTTTCCAGGAACAGAGGGAGAAGACAGGAAACATTTCGCTTAGAAATCATCCATAAGTTTTAGCCTTGTGGCCCTGTTACAGTTTGATGTTATTTATTAGCTTATTAAAAGACATTATTATCCTGTATGCTACTGACTTGTGAAATACTATTATAAATGATAATTCCTGCAGTTAACCGGTGTTAAATCAATTACTGGCAAAGACAATCTCAGTCTCTGAGCATAATTTGCCCCCAACAATGAGAATTTTAAGGACTGCAGAGGGGGAGAAGCTAAAAGGAGAGGAGATAAGGGCTAGAGGAGAACCGTGATGCCCCTAAAGAGGTGGAAGGAAATGGGCTCCACAGCCCAAGTGGAGGGATGCGCCTAAGACAAGAGGGAAGGGGAGAAACTTAAGGACAAGAGGTAGAATGAGACATGAAGTTGACCGAGCTTGTCAGGGCCTAGATACATACTTGTTTATTTACCCAATTTACTGAGCCCAACTCCGTCCAGGTAGTGGATTCCAGAAGGGCAGCAGCCGGGCCCGGGCACCCCATGTAACGCGAGCAGTCAGGGAAGGAGGCGAGTGGGAGCTGGGACCGAGGCAGGTGAAGCCGCCGCGGTCAAAGCTGAGTCACCGGGGTGCTAAATTAGCCCCGCGGATAAGAAGCCCCTAGCAGCGCCCACAATCCACGCGCGCTTTAAGCGGCGCCGGAAGTGGCGTCACCGAGCCGGGCGTCCCTTTTAACTAATGGCCGCGCGGTCCGTCGTCCGACGGTAACCCGAGCAGCACCTGGGGAAAAAAGGCGGGAGGCCCATAAGGCGCGAGAAGAGACCACCCATCCACGTCATTACGCGAGTTACCAGAGCAGCGTAGTCGGGGACAGGCGTCTCTTCCAGCTTCTCTTTCGCCGGTTAACCTAGCTCAGGGTCACCACGCCTTCAACCCAAGGACCGCCTCACGCCCGAAGCTACCCCCCGTAAAGATGGCGGATAGGCACGGAGGAAAAGCCGGAAGAAGGCGGGGTGGGAGGAGCCGGCAGGGGGCGTGTCCTGTCTGCAGAGAGGTTCGGATGGGCGTGGCCAGCAGCCCCTACTGGGCTTTCCATCAAGGAGGCGCACACACCGCAGCCAGCCGCGTCCCTCCGTCGTCTCCTGGGGGCGGGTCACCACTGGCTCCGCCCCTGTCCGGAAAGCTCCCTCTTGGAAGGTATCACCCGAGTTTCCGAGATTTGACCGGCGTGGGGCCGCAGGCCTCCAGTCCCTCGACGATGGAGAGCACCCAGGAGAAACCCGCGGAGTCTAGTTCCCCCGTCCCCGGGTCCGAAGAGCCTGCCGGCTTAGCCAGGGACCCCGAAGTGTTGCCTCCCAAGGAGTCGGAAGGCTGCGCCCGGCCCCTGGAGACGGCCCCCAAGAAAATCTGTGGATATTTAAGTAAGTTTGGCGGCAAAGGGCCCATCCGGGGCTGGAAATCCCGCTGGTTCTTCTACGACGAGAGGAAATGCCACCTGTATTATTCGCGGACCGCGCAGGATGCAAATCCCTTGGACAGTATCGACCTCTCCAGTGCAGTCTTTGACTGCAAGGCGGACGCCGAGGAGGGGACTTTCGAAATCAAGACTCCCAGCCGGATTATTACCTTGAAGGTAAATGGAGCAGTTTTTTTCCTTTTCAGCCGGGATGAGATCCCAGGGCACAGCAGGGCGCAGGTGGGTGGTCACAGTAAACTTACGATAATCACCGACCCTGATCAGCCCAGTGAACCCTGGGTGCCCAGGGTTTTGTACTTTCCAAAGCACATTCACACCCACTTCCTCACTGGGTTCCCACAACAAAAGCCGGGATGATGGACCCATATTACGGATCAAGAAACTGATTCACAAAGAGATGAAGTGACTGGTCCGAGGTCACACAACTAAAAAGTGGTGTAGCCCACACTTGGAATCCCATAGCTTTTCTACCTCTCAGTACTGTGTCAAAACTTTTACTTTTAGGTGTGGCTAACAATGCTGTTCCCTTAACTTTCTTACTTGGGGCTGAAGTATAGTCAAGATGAGCTTTGCCATCCTCTCGAAGGCCCGGATCCTGAATTACTTTTCTTGATGTTGTGGCCAAGGGGAGTGAATGCTGAGAAAACTTTGGCAGAGATTGGGAGATAAATATTTAGGTTTCACTGATCAACCTAGATTGTTCATTGATGCACGTCTAAACCTGTTTTCTCATCAGTAGGTTTTGTTTTATTATCATATTTAACTGAGAAAGCCTGAAGCAGTGCAAAGGCCATGTGCTTTGAAATCAGACAGGCTTGGATTCAAATTCTACATTAGCTACTTACTAGCTGTGTGACTCTGGGCAAGTTAACCTCTTAGTACCTAGATAGTTTGTGAGATTTATAACAGGGTGTGTAAGCACCTGGCACATCACAGGCACCTACAAGTTGCTGAATTAATCTCAGTGCCTAGAATACAGCCTGGCATCTAGTGGGTCCTCAATAATTATTTGTTGAATGAACACACATAGTGATAGAACCAAGGTCAGAAAGTTCATGTCATGTCAAGAGGAAGTGCCCTAGAACTTAACTGGAAAGACAGATGTGGGCTAAGAGTTCTGGAATTCACACTCAGCAGAGGAGAGTGTGCCAGACGACTGCCACCTCCCTGACCCCCACCCTGTCTTCCCACACCTCCACCCCTACTTGCAGCCCACTGGGCATCTCTTGAGCCCCCTGGATATAGCCCACAGCTTTAGTTCCACTTTACTGTCTGGGCCAGGCTAGTGACCAGGCTGGGGGTGGGGGTGGGGGATCAGCAAAAATAATGCAAATTAGGAATTCCAGGCCAGGAGGGCAGGCATTTTAGGGTTACTTGGCTTATGGGTCATGTGTCTGCTCCCACACATTGAATGCTGTCTACAGGGTCGCTAACACGTGCCTTTTACTATTCCATTGACCCGTGTGTGTGCCTGGCACTGTGCTAGGCGCTGGGGTGTGGCACAAAATCAGACCTGCCCCCTGGGGCTCAAACCACTTAAGGTCTTGTGAGAGACGGACAGGGAGACTGGCATGCGCAGTAAAATGTTCTGTAGGGACAGTATGATAAGTCTATACCAGAAAGGTGCTGTGACAGAAAGGGTGGTTCCACTAAGTAGGTGGGGCTATCCAGAGAGGGCCTCATGGGCCAGAGTGGGGGTGGGGTGGGAAGGGGGCTACCACACCTTGACGCTTGAAAGAGAAAATCGGTTTTCTACAAGCAGACAAGAGGGAGAAGGATATTCCAGGCCAAGAAAGCCCCATGAGTAAACATAGGAAAACATGGTACAGCCTGGAACGTCCAGGCAAATCCCAGGAGCCTGGGGTATAGAGGGGCCCACAAGATGGAGTGGAAGAGCAGAGGCCCGAGGGCAGGGCATTTGGCAGGCCAGGGAGCTTGGACTTTGTCTTATGGGCTGTGGGGAAATTGTCAGAGCCTTAAGCAAGGAAGCACTGTGAGATGAAAAAATTGAGAAAGGTCAATCTGGCTTTTGGGTAGAGAACAAGTTAGGAGAAGGCAAGGCTGTGGTTCGGGAGTCCGTCAGGAAGTGGTCAGGAGAGAATGACGGCCGAGCTAGAGCTGTAGCAGTGGGGCGGGAGACAAATGGGGGCGGCTAAGGATGTGAGGGAGGGGTCAGGGGTGGCTTGTGTAACTGGCTGACTGCCTGGTTGGGGCAGTCACTGACAGCAAGGAACCCAGGATGAGGAAACCGCAGGATATACAGTTATATGTCCCCCTCAGTAGACTCCAAGAGGGGAGGGCCGTGTGTGTGGGCTCACCAGTGCCTTCCACAGTCCCTGACACGTATAGTACATGCTCAATATACACCTGTCCAATGAATTAATAAAATGGATTGTTCGGGTATGGGCTGGAGCTTGTCAGCACAAGGTCATGGTGAAGCCCTGAGAGGGGCTGAGGTCTCTCGGGGAAAGTATATAGAAAGAGAAGAATGGTGGGCATCATTTTATCTGATATGATATCTCCATGACAGGCCGAGGGCCTCTTTCAGGGAGCCCCCAGCCTTGTGCACACCTCACCGTGGTCCTCTTGAGAAGGGGGCTTGCCCTGGTTGCCTGCTGACGTTCTCACATGGCCTTGATTGTGGGCAGCTCTGTGAGGCTCACCATCCACTCCCAGCGCCTATCCAGCTTCTGCAGCCCAACCGATCCTAGGCTTTATCCATGTAAGTCACAATCTCCCGGCCGTAAATTACAACAAATCTCTGGTCTAGAAGTGGGAGACCCGGGTTCTGGGACCAGCTCTGCCACCACCTGCCTGGACGGCCTCAAAGCCTTAGTTTCTCCATCTATGGAGGGGGCCGATCACTCCCGCCCTGCCTCCCCAGTGGAGGATCCGGCAACATAATGGATGTGAGAGTAGGTGTGTGGACCATCCACTGCTGGGAGACTAACGACCAGCATCAACCATACCTCATGTGGGCTGCCTGGAGGGTGCCACAATGTTGTGTGCATATGGCTTTCCAGTCCCCAATCACATCATCCCCAAAACAGGAGAGATTCTCCCTATTCCACAAAGTCAGCTAGGACACTGAGATGTCACACAGGGAGATAATGATGCTACTAGGGCCCCAGCCAGGTCAGAATTTCAAAGCTCTCTCCCTCTCTCTTAACACCTCCAAAATATTTTATCCAGTGAGCACATTTTGAGCACCTACTGCATGTCAGGAACTATGCTGTATACTTTACTTTCCTTACTTCATTTCACCCTCATAACCACCCTATGAAATGAGTGTTATCATCACCATAGGACAGATGAGAAAACTGAGGCCCAGAAAGGTTAAGGAACCTCTGAGTGGGAGATCAGAGCCCGATTATCTTCTGTTGCCAAGAAGCATGTGGTGTTTCAGAGGTGTCACCTGCAGTGACAATTTTTTTTTTTCTGGGAAGGAGAGAGTTGCCAAGCCTCCCATGACCTTCCTGCATCCCACACCCAGTGCCACCATGCAGGCACAGGGCCTTGCCAACTAACGCTTGTGCTTCTCAGGCCGCCACCAAGCAAGCGATGCTATACTGGCTGCAGCAGCTGCAGATGAAGCGCTGGGAGTTCCACAACAGCCCGCCTGCACCTCCCGCCGTCCCTGACGCTGCCCTGGCTGGGAATGGGCCCGCCCTGCGCCTCGAGCTAGGTACCCAATGGGCTTGCCTCCTGCCCACACACCCAGGGCTCTTGGTGACCAAGCCTTTACCCTCCTTTTGGGAGTGAGTGGGAGGACCCCTCTGCTAAAGAAGCGGAGAGCCAGGGATGTGACTCAGGATGAGCTAGGGCAACAGTATAGCATCAAGGGCAAGAATATGGGCTCTGAGGCCAGGCTGGCTGGGCTCAGATCCTAATCCTGTGCAGTCTTAGGCAAGTTGCTTAACCTTTCTGAGCTTCAGTTTCCTTCCCTGTAAAATGAGGTTAATAAAGAATACCTACTCCTTAGGGTTATTATGAGGATTAAATGAATCCTTACACCTTAAAGGGTTGGAACAATGCCTGCACATTGTCAGAGCTCAGTAGATGTCAGTTACTATTATGATGATGACAATTATGGAAAGATCTCAAGAAATGAAACTTCCACAGAGTTGCTGTGAGGAGGGTTAATGAGAGAATGCAGTTGTTGTTGTTGCTTCTTACATAAATGCTTTTGTGCTGTGAGTTGAGTAGATCCGTGATCTTATCCCCAGTGTTGCCGTGGGCAGAAGCTTCACCCCCGCCAGGTGGCCCACGTGATCCCAAATACTAAAACATCCCAGCATGGAGGAGACCGGGAGCTCATACCCCCCTACCCCCATGCTGCAGCCAGCACTGTGACCAGCAGGTTTCACAGTTGAGACAGACCACCCACCGAGCTGCAGTGTGTCTAACATGCCTCACCCTCAGTTGACAGGGAAGCCCAATGGGCGAGGGCAGGACCTGTGGCCGGACACCTCCT